GAATAATACTCCCATTATTCATTTTACCTTCCAGGCAACTATCCAAAAATATCTCACAGCGTTCAGGGATCGAAACATCTTCTGCTACCACCACGCGAAGCGTCTCTTCACATTTTCGATGTAGAACCACTTCTTCTTCATTTATTTTCAAAATTCCCTGTTTGAAGTTTAGTTCAAAACCTCTAGTGGTCATAATGTCCATTCCGAGAATTAGTTCATCTTCGATATCTGCTACTAACACTGGATGTTCAAAACTGGTGCTGCCAATAACAAAATTAAGGTTTACTTCTCCCTGGACAGCAGCGGAGCCCCCCGTAGCAGTACGTAGTCGCCATTGTGTTGTTTTAACCTTCTTCGATGTTTTAAGAATGTCCGGTCTGATGATAGTTTTCGTCGCACCTGTATCCAACAGCATGGTCCGGAACTCTCCATCAACAAAACCATCCACAAAAATGCTGTTGAATTTGTGTTGTAGCGAGGCGACTTGAGCAGTTTTCGTTGGGGCATGTTGGGTAGAGGTCGACGTGTGCCCCTTTATTTCGACCCTTAGTAGTTTTCCGACCTCGACGAAGCCGGTTCTTCGTTCTTCTCCTTACAACGGCTTCGCACGTGTCCTACCTGTCCGCAGTTCCAGCAACGAATCGGTCCCTTCTTGCCCATGTACTGGTCCATTACTTTCCGAACAATCCCTTCCACGGATTCGTCGGAACATTCGTCGATGGCCCGTACTCTTCCTAAAGACCGAGAACTTTGTTTCGCGGCCTCGAATTCTAGGGCACGTGCTAAAGCATCCACCAAGTGCGTTGGGTGGGCTAGGAGAAGTGCTTGTCTTGTCTCCTTGTCACGTAAGCCATCGGAGAATGCCTGTACTGCCAACCGCTCCATATCATTCTCGGGCGTAGCAGGGTACGCAAGGCGAACGAGGCGGGCTACGTCGGCTTCAAACTCCTGCAGAGACTCATTTGACTTTTGAATGCGATTTTTTAGCTGGGAATGATAGACATGTTCCAAATGAGCTTGGCCGTACCTCATTTGTAAATGTCGTACCAATTGCTGATAATCTCCCTGTTCCGATGGTGACAGTGTCTGCAGGATGTCAGTCGCATCTCCTCGCAGTGCGACAGTCAAAGCGGTAGCCTTTTCAGCGATTGTCCATCCGTTCGCTCTCGCAGCGGCCTCAAACTGGCAAAAATAATTGGCCCAAGCGGTTTTTCCGTCAAACTGTGGAGGCTTAATAACTGACTTTGATATATACTTATTTTCGACGAGTGTCGGGCCCTCCGATGTTTCTTGACATTTTGGTGAATTTGCTTTTGCTATTTGTTCTTTCAAAATTTCGATTTTTCTATTTACATCTTCCTCAATCTCTGTTATTTTGTCTTGTTAACTTTTATCTTTTCTTCTAATTCCTGTATTTTATTATTAAAGCTGGCCTGTATATCTTTAGAATTTTCGATGATCTTATCTTCTAATGTGTTGATTAAATCCTGGGAATTTTCCATAATTTTATCACTGATTTTATCTTCTAAATTAACTTCCAAGTCAATTATTTTACTATTCAAATTGTTTTCAAATTTTTGTAGGCACGAGTCAAGGTCACCTTGCAACTCAAAGCAAAAGGTGTCAGGATCCTCACCTTCCTCAATCAAAACGTCTCTCAGTCTGGCTTGCAGAATGCTTTTCTTTCCATCTGTCTCGCATTCCCTCTCTTCCAGTATGCATTTTAATTCGGACACTTTCAAGTCTTTCAACAATTTCTTCGGAGCCATTGTTAGTCTTTTTATTTTTTTTTAGTCTATCACGCACGCCACACTTGACACCAATTGTTACGTTTTTCGTCGGTTCCGTGTGGATAGAAAGTCACAATTTATTTAAACACTATTTATTTAACACTAATTAACAAAAACAATAACGATAAAAAAAACTTAAAGAACTATTTATAACTTATTTACAACTTATCTAATTATTTATCTAACAGAAATTTATATTGAATTAGCGCGGCGATTGTAACTCTACGCGTCGATCGGTTATTTATTTCTATCCCCTTCAGGTTTCGGGCATCGGCTTATATATGAGAGAAACAGACAGTCCAGACATATCTCGAAAATTCTTAGCGGCTTTCTTCGAACGTCGGTGGGCGTATGAGTCATAGCCGAGTGGCCAAGCCTAAGGCCGAGTTCACACGGTACGGGTCCGATCGAAAAAAAGAAGGCGTCCAGTTGGCTTGGAAATGACGATCGATGACATTCCCCATATAATTTTACATATAAAATGATAGCGATCTTCATTTCATAGCCATCGCTGACGCCGTTTTTAGGGTTCCGTACGCAAAGGGTAAAAACGGGAACTATTACTAAGACTTCGCTATCCGTCCATCCGTCCGTCTGTCACAAAGGTCTATCTTATGAACCATTATAGCTAGACAGTTGAAATTTTTACAGATAATGTATCTTTGTTGCCGCTATAAGAACAAATAGCGTATGATCGAAAAAAAGGGCTCCAGTTGGCTGGGAAATGATGATCGATGACATTTCCCGTATAAATTTACATATAAAATGACAGCGATCTTTATTTCATAGCCAATGCTGACGCCATTTTTTCTCGATCATACGGTACTAAAAACAGAATTAAATAAATGTTTATAAATAAAAAAGTACTTCCACTAAACATTATCTTTTAAGTAAGAATTTTACATAGAATCTATTAAGTCCTCGGTGGCCGCGTGGTTTAAAGCGTTAGGACTTTACGCTGCTATGACGTTGGAGCCGTAGTAAGGCAGATTCGAATCCTAGCCAAGGCGACTTTTTTTCGTTTTTTCGTTTTTTTTAATTTTTACATATTTTTACATATTTATTTTTACTTTTTACATATTTATTATTGATTAACACTAGTAGTGGGAACTATCGAATGAATACTATCGAAACATTCGATAGTCGCAATTCATTCGAATAATTCGATAGCTAGTAAAAAAACATTCGTTGAAAACTATTCGAATAAAAACTATCGAATAGATGCGTCATCTGCCTTGAAATATTGTATTCTAGTAATCCGGCAGCAAAAACCATTCATTTATAAAATTCATTCATTTATGAAATTCATTTATTTGTCAGGATCGATTATAATAAAATATTAACTGGATTTTAGTTGTCGCCCGGCGACGTAGGTTTCTTTCCGAGAAACCCGACAGCGGTCGATGGCAATGTTATGAAAGAAGCCGGCATCTTTGATTTTTTGCGGAGTCATAAAAAGATAAGGACACATTATTTTTTTATTGGGGTGCTAGTATTTACACAGAAAATACATTATGAAGAGCGCTGTTGCCATATATTGGTATTAGTTGATATTAGCAAAGAATATTATTGTTTGGCTTTAGTTAGTTAGGGATAGTATGTCTATATATTTTGCATTTTTTTTATTAATATTCTGTTGTTACACTGCAATAATACTTGTTATTTTGGATGTAGGAAAATGATTTTAATGTTTTTAAGCAAAGACTGGTTTAATAAAATAATAATAACAGTAATAATTTGTTATACCTATTAACAACAAAATTTAAAATAATTTAATATAAACATTTTTTTTTACGTAGTAGCAAAATATAAACAACAAATTAGATGTCAAAATTATTTATATTAGATCCTATTTAAAAATAATATAGTCTTTAAATTTTTGTGTGGCAACGTTGGTTTATTAAATAATAATAATTACAGAACTAATTTGTTATATTAACAACAAACTTTAATATCATGAAATATAAACATTTATTAATTTTCTAAGCATGCAGTGTAATGGAAGGAAAATATAAATAAAAATTATAAATCAAAATTATTTATAATATTATGTACTTTATATTACTATTTAAAAATAATATTTACTTTTACTGGTATTTACTTTAAAAAATAAATGAAATATTTCTTCGCAAAAAACTACAGGTAAGAGAATTAGCATAAACAAAATACAAACATCGTTAACTTTTTTTAAACTGGCACGTGTAAAACTTTCAATTTAATTTTCTCACCCCATAGTTTGAGTTCGATAACCATTTACTTAACCACATTACTTAAATATGATTATTAAGTTCAACTAATTCATATTATTTAAACATCTAAAATACAAATATGTATTTTTAAAATTAATTCTAAGTTCATCTCATCTCTCTTAAAAATTGCTACTTCTCAAAATTTCCCATTAAAATATAGACCATATATACCATATAAAATAAAATAATTGAAAGATCGGGCTACGGAAAATCACACAAATTTTCGGAAAAATTCTGACACCTGCACACGCACAAAATCCTCAATTAAAAAAAAACTACTATTTTAGTATTTTAAATATTTTAATAAACCCAAAATTGGCACAGTATTTATAAGGTGAATTTATAAAAATTTGGAAGAACTAATAATGCACTGACGCACACAAAAATCAAACGAATACTATGACTAAATTTCATTTATCAAAAGCATTCGATAGTCCTGGCTGAACGATAACCATTTAGTTGCACGGCGAGGTTGTCACATATGCTTTAGTATACAAATGAATGAATGATTTTATTCGAATAAAACCATTCGATAGTTGAAATCATTCATTCAGTAACCATTCGATAGTCTAATTCATTCGATAGTTCCCATCGCTAATTAACACAATTCTTAGTACCTAATGTGTTTCTTCATTCGTTCAAGCGCATTCAAAATTTCAGCTAAATCGGAAAAAAAGTTTATAATAATATAGTGTCTAATGTTGTATAGATAATGAATGCTACGGAACCCTTCGTGGGCGAGTCCGATTCGCACTTGACCAATTTTTTTTCATCATACGGTACAATAAATACCATACCTAATCAGCAATATGAAATACACCGGCTATAGTCTGTCTTTCGACAGACAACAAATGTCACTGTCATATATTTTTTTCGCCAGGCAGACTGTAACTTATTTGTTGCATTAATCTTGTCCAGTATAATTTTAAACTTACTATACTAAATCAAAATTTTTATTTAGGGATGGATATAAATCAGGTGACGTCTAAAGAACATCAAAGAATTAAATTAACGCTCATGAAATATCTAAGCGAATCGCATTTAGCCACATTTTACGTTATTATGGCTCACCTTATAGAGGTGGTGAAATACAAAGATCACAACAAAATGGACTCATATAATTTAGCTATTTGCTGGGGACCATCATTAATATTTGCAAATTCAAATGGTAAGGATAATTTACAATAATTCAGGGTCCACAAACACATATTCATCAAGAATGGGTTTTATCTTATTATCAGAGACAACTAACGGGGGGTGTTAACGCAGTAAGTTTTTGCCTGTTCAAAAGCAACTGTATACTGTCAAATTTGATATTTCTGAAGTTCAATATTGTCGTTGTTGACAAAGATATGAAAAAGTGTTTTAATGCACCATTAAAACAACCAACCCAACCCTAAATATATTTTATTGTATACAGGGTGTTCCAAAAAAAAGTTATGATAAAGTTTGAAGATTTTTTTGAAATTGCACCAGGGAATTTTATGCTGAATCCAAATCTGTACAAAAAATTAGGGGTGCAAATTAAAGTAATTTAAAACTTTTTCATTAGGATATACCCCTCTATAAACCATGCAACATTTGTATAAAACTTTTTTTCATATCTTCGACAACGACGACAATATTGGACTTCGTCGCACTAATGGGCCACCCTGTACGTGTGTTCTTTACTATTTATTATTTTTTTAGTGTACAATACTCAATTAGATTCAAAAGTCTTTCTCAGTTCCCCAAAAGACATAGTATCACTAAGTCATGATGCGACACGGTTAATAGATTTTTTTATTGGATATTTTTCGAAGTATCCTACTGAATTAGAAAAGAGACCGGTAAGTGAAAGAAAGCATTAAACATTATGAAAATCTACAGTATTTTACAAAATTTCAGGAAAATACATGTGAAAAATATCTATCTTTAAAACGACCAGAATCAAAAGATAGTATAGAGAGTGGAGACAGCAGTACAAAAAGTTTTAAAAAAAGTAAGTGAAAATAAAAACATAACCAACTAAAATCATAGATGCCCGGTGGCGTAGAGGTACAACTCTCGTCTACCAATCTAAAGGTTGTAGGATCGAATCCTACAGCCGGCAGTTCAACAGCCGACTATTTTTTTTTTCGAGAGGGGTAAAAAATCTTCTAAAGACCTTACCGACCTGGTGTTCTGGTGGTCGGCGTGTGTCGGATTCGAATTTCCTGGAGTTCGGTTACTGACTAAAAACTTCCCGTCCTCCGTTTCCTACACCTCTTATTACGGAACTGCTCTCGCATTACTTCATAATAAGGGTTGTCTAGTAATCACTCGTCCCTAATCTTCTCTTCCAAGATATTTTTAACCACACCATATACTCGGCTCCAGCCTTCAGGTGACTCCATTAACTCATCCATCATGCTTCGGGCGTTGAAAGTTTTGCCGGTTTTATTCATTACAGTTGAGGGTTGGAACCTTTGGTGTTACATAGCAAAATAAAAACACTAAATCACCACAATACACCAAAACAGTTTTACTTTTACACTGGACGCGCGTTTCGCTAACCATGTTAGCATCAACAGCAGATGATTAATATATATATTGGTGTCTCTTTCAGAGAAATATGTTTGTGGTTATCAATTCAAAATTTGTTAATAAAATGTCCATTTTGAATAATAAGTTTAAAAAATTAAAAAGCTCTAAAAACAAACATGTTTTCCAAAGAGACATAAACATAGTGGAAAATCTTTCTTCGCAGACTTTTGATAAACAAGAGCTCAGTTTATTAAACAAAGGTTTAAAGTATGCATTGCCCAACTCTGGTAGCGCTTTGGAGGAAATCGTCGTTGGTGTTGAAACTGCTATTCAGCACTTGCCCGAGGCTTCTAAGGTATTTGCAAGAGAGGCTTGTAGAAATCAGTTATCAAAAAATATTGTTTCAAGTAATTCATTAAAATCTAACAAAGAGCACAATATTGTCAAGAGTTTGCGTAACAAAGATTGTTTCTATATAAAAGTTGATAAGGGAAATAAGGTTGTTATATTAGATAAAAAAGACTATTACGATAAGGTTAACAACTTAATCGATAATGGCCCCTACATAAATTTGGAAAAGAATCAACCTTGTCTAAGATGGTAGCAGACGTTAAAAAAACTCTAAAAGAATGTAACACCCTTATTGATCTTCTTTAAAGAGGAAATTGCAAGTATCCAATCCCTCATTACCAAAATTGTATGCTTTGCCAAAAATTCATAAACCGGACAAGTCAATGCGCCCAATTGTTTCGGCTGTAGGTTCTCCGACTTATATATGTATATATATATATATAGTATTTTTAATACCCATTTAGAATAACACCATCCTTATTTATTATTAATAAATCAGTTGAAACAAAAAATTACCAACAAAAATGAACGTCGATTATTAATAATTTGTTAGATGTCACGTTTTTGAAGTTACATTTCATGTTAATGTCATAACGCAAAATAAGATATAAAAATGCGATATTCTGATGAATCCAAAAAACTTATGCTTAATGTAGTAAACTATTTTCAAAACGATTTAGGATCTCGATTTAAGGCAATTCAAAAAACGTCCGAAGCACTAAAAGTTCCAGAATGCACATTATATAATCTTTGAAAAACCAAACAGAGCTACAGATTTCGAATTTAGAAGAAATATGTCTGCAAGCGTTTCCCGGAGCAAAATCCGAATTACAAAGAATACCCTACATTGTTTGAGGGAAGTAATTTACAAAATGTATGCGCGAAAGGATAAAATCACAGTAGAAACTATTTTCCGGCAATTTATCGAAGAGTCTCCAGAAACTAAGATTTCCAAAAGTTCGTTATATTTGGGAATTAAAAAAATGGGTTTTCATTTAAAAAACGGGATGGAAGAAAACAGTTATTGGAAATGCCTGGAATCAGATTAAAAAGAATATTATTTTTGAACAAATACCATGCTGCTAAAGCGAAAAGCTCTTTAAACCTGTTTTTCTGTAGAATTTGTACTTAAACGAGCCCTTAAATAAATATTATTACTGCTTGCTCGACTTCTTGTTATATTATTTATTATACTTTTAGTGCATCAGACGCTTTTTGAATTGCCTTAAATCGAGATCCTAAATCGTTTTGAATATAGTTTACTACATTAAGCATAAGTATAAGTTAAGATATTCTTTGGTATAAGCCTTAAATCGAGATCTTAAATAATATAGGTATTTTTTTTTAAGAAAACTCGGTATCTAGTTAATAAAACAATATTTTTAAAATTAGTGCGCTTCTTTTATATTTTTTTTAATACGTCAACATCTTTAGAATTTCATAAAATTAATTTTTATTATTATAAACCGCCACTGATAATATGAAATTTCAAGTCACTCCGCCAATGCAATAAGAAATATGTCAAGCATTTGACATGACAAAGGTCATAACCTAATTTTTTTCATGCGGGTTTAGATGGTGCAAGAAGCCGCATACGTTAAGTTACTAAAACGGCTGGTACCTCTAAATAGGTATTAAAAATACTATATATATATATATACATATATAATATTGATATATATATATATATATATATATATATATATATATATATATATATATATATATATATATATATATATATATATATATATATATATATATATATATATATATATATATATATATATATATCAAACCAAACCGATAATCTTCCCATCTCGGACACTTTGTATGGTCTCGATCGTCAGGCTGATTACAGTATTTGCACTTATCAAATTCTCTCCTGCGAAACTTGAATAAGTAGGTATTGAAACATCCGTGACCGGTGAGTGCCAGCGTAAGAAAGTAGTCCGGTTCTCCATGGGTCCTCTCTGTCCATCTTCTCAGGTCCGGGATTAGTTTCCTCAACTGCTCTCCTTTTACTCCATTCTCCCATCTGATTTGCCACTGCCTCATAACCTCATTCTCTAACTCTAGACTTCCTTGTCCTACGTATCTCTTGGCTCTCTCTTTGATTTTTAGGTCAATCGCCCGCCAATACTCCGGCCGCTAGTTCCGATACTGTCCTGTAAGCACTACAAATGCGCAGATTTACTTGCCTTTGCATTAAGGCGAACTTTTGCGTAAGCTTTCTGTTTTCGGTGACTGTGTGCCAGATTGGCGCACCGTAGAGCATGTGTGAATGTATTACCGATGCCAGTATTCTTCTCTTTGAGGCTCTGGGACCCCCGATATTCGGCATTATGCCGTTTAACGCGCTTAAAGTTTTTCCAGCTTTTTCCAAAGTTCTACTAGTGTGCTCTGCAAAAGTGAGCTTTGTGTCTAGCCAAATACCGACGTACTTGATGGAATTTTTGGGTCGTACAATAACTTCCTGAATTTTGAATTCGACTGGCGTCATCTTCCTTTTCCTGGTGAGGAGTATTGCTTCTGTCTTATCAGGAGTCAATGTTAAGCCATTTGTCTGCATCCAGTTGGACACCCTTATTAGAGCGGTGTTTGCTTTGTCCATCAGTATCTGTTCTTGTTTTGCCGTTACAACGACGGCAACATCATCAGCAAACCCGAGCAGTTTGACATCATCTGGCATATCTGTTTCCAATAGACCATCGTACATTACAATCCACAGAGTCCCAGTACAGACCCTCGGGGCACACCGCTGTTTATGGTCTGAGTAGTAGTCACTCCTTCGGCCTCTATAATGATTTCTCTTTCTGACAGATATGAAGATATCATGTTTATAAGAGCTTTATCCACGTCTCTTCTTAACAGTTGATCGATTATTTTCTGGCAACTTGCACTATTAAATGCGTTTTTGACGTCCACTGTGATTACACAGCAAATCCTTCGATGGGCATGGGAGTAGTCCTCTGCATCTCGAGAGAGACTTATTTTTATTAAAATAAAAATAGTTTAGGTACGTAGGTCGACTCAGCCTTAAATGAGTACTTGGGATTCACCATCCTGAGGTAATAATAGGCGGTTGAAGCGTAGTGCTAGCCACATTACCTTCCTTGTATACCGAACGGCTCTAGCATGGCAAGCTGTACCTTGCTACTCCCAATGCGTTAAACGCTATGTATGGGAGCGTTTGTATATTATTATGAAAACATATACAGTAAACGCCACGAATGTTTGGGAGTGATTCATCGGTCGCTACCATGTGAACTAATCTGTTCAAGGTCACACAAAACTTAATTCCAGTGCTGTGGTGTTTTAAGTCACATAATAATCAATATATAATCTGTTGTAACTTGTTGTTTTAACTGTCAAAGTCTTGTCAAAACATATATTTGGTTATAAATATAAAAGGGAATGCCCCATTGGCCGCACTGCAAGCACACCAATGAACTGACGCACAAAAACGCATCAATCAAAGAAACGCGATATAGTATCATCTTCGTCAATCACGCTAACATTTTAGAATAAATAAGGACGAGCGCAGGCAGATGATTAGACCGGGCCTTTAAAAACCAACGTCTGCGGTAAAAATTTACGTTTTTAATGTAAAAATGACAGCGCGCTCGTCGATTCTAACTTCATCAAGCGATGAATCACACCCAAACATTCATGGCGTTTACTATATGATATCTTTGATATCAATTAAACTTTGAGTTACGTAGTCGAGGGCGCGATTTTTAAATTCATTGTTGCAAACCATGGACATATTCGGCGCCGGGTTGACTAACTGGAATTTAAATTTCCCACTGGGGATTCAGGTGGTAGCTCTGCTGTAAGAAATGTTTAGTTGTCACATTTATTGATTTATTTCCTGACATTGTCATTCGTTTTGACACTTTAGTTTTGTATTTCGAGTTTTTGATTTAAATAAATAGTGTAAAAAGATGTAAATAATAACTGTTTATATATTTATAATTAATGTATTTTTGTTTCCTAAAATATTTTGAAAAGTGGGCAACGCTGTGCCGGTCAAGCTTTATTTGATATGAACTATATATTTTAATGTTTCTATGTTTTAGCTGATATTTAATGTTTATTTTTAGGTAATAGTAACTTAAGTTTAAGCGTAGACGAAGTCATTAAAAAGGCAACTGAATACATTGAGTTAAACCTATCAGCTGAAGGACTATACAAAAAGCCTGGAAGCTCCGAGAAAACAGCTAAAATCCTGAAAAAATTACACAAGAAAAAAAGCAACGAACTTGATAAATATAGAAACGATGTGTACGATTTTTGTGACGCATTGAAAAAATACCTGAAAGAATGTTCGGAGCCTTTAATTGATGGAAGTACAGTTGAAAGAATAACTATAGCATTTGGTGAGTCTCTCATGGTAAAGAGTGTAATGTGTAACTTCTTTGGGTACACCCTGTAGTACTATAAAGTACTAAAATATGTATATAAATACATATTTTTAAAAATGCTTTAAATTAACCGAGGGATGTCTCACTGTTGGAATTACATATACAGGGTGTCTCACTAAGAATAGCTCTGGAAAGTATTAGCCGTTAAACCTGCGGAAAAATATTTATAACTAAAGCGACCATGAGAAGTTGCTGGAAATTATTTTGAAGCTTGTAGAACGGTCGCTAGAGGGCGCAACTGCTATGGAAAATAAGAATCTGGAATTTTTACGAAATTTTGCTTAGATAAGGGGTACTATAAATAATAGCATCACAATCTTCAGTAAATTTTGGATCTTTTTTGTTAGAACCATGGGAAGGTTAAATCTGTTTTTATTTGAATGAAATATTAATAACTCCAAACTGGATTATCATATAAACAATAATGAGTTTTGAAGGAGGCGCACGCTGTGTGCCTCCAACAAACATTACGCTTTTTTTTCAAAAAACAAATAAATTCGAAAATATATGTAATTTTAGCTGATAGTAAAGACACAGTTTAGTGGTAAAGAGTAATAAATGCTTAAAAAGTCATCTTGGTACCTTTTTTTCAAACCAAAGATATTAGCAAAATTATAATACGAAAAAATAAGCCCTTAATTACCTTATTTTTTTAACACTGCATCCCTAGCCCTCTTGATTATGATCATTCTAATAAAAACTAAGACAAAAAATTAGTTTATTAAAAAAACAATGTATCAGAATACCATAGTGCTGGGTGTTTTAACATGTAATAATTAAGATATCAATGACAGTGAAAAAGAAAGGACGCCTCAGTGAATTCACGGTAGGCTTTGGAAAAAAGTTGCTTATGACGTAATAATATAGATGTTAAAGTGTTATTAAATCAAAAATTTGATAGTCATATCAACCGCTTTTTTAAGTAAGAAAGACATTTTTAGAAAAGCAATCAAAAGATAAAAAAACGCTGCTGAGGCTATGTTGATATAATGTTGATAAAATAACATTTTTATGTTTAAACTATCGCTTTAAAATAAACTTTTTTCCATTTTTCCATTATAAAAAAGTGAGACTGTTATACTCTAGAAGTTTTTTGTACTAATACATTTACACCTGTAAATAAAAGCATATTCTGTAGATAAAAATAAGTGAAAAAGTTCGTATAGGCTTTGGTATAGGTTATAGTATGTACTAAAATTCTTAGTTTCGGAGATACAGGGTGTAGAAGTTTCATTTTTATTTCAATTTTTTCCAAATAATTTCTGAAGTAACGTCAATATTTGGATGAACATTGGTGTCTGGGAGTTTTTTTGACATGAGAAATTTGGCTTTGATGTCAATATGACTCCTACTTGTAGAAGGCGCCACCTACATATTTCTTAACTGCTTTGAAGAGTAATAACTTTTCGTTCGTACCTGTATAAAACTACTGAGTAAAAAAATATATAATACATATATGACGCTTTTTACGTAAAAAGGCTTTCTTGGTAAAAATCTCTACAAGTAATGGTTCTCGAGATATTTGGAATCGATATTATCAATGCCTGTCATCATTGACATAAATTAAACTTGTTGACTAAATAGTTATTAAACTGGAATCATAAATTTGAAATATTTTTTTGCCAAAAGTTCAACAGAAACTGTATTATCGTCATTTTTTCGCAGAAAAATTTATGATTAAATTAAAGACAAAAAGTTCCCAAATTTGTAATTTCAGTCAAACAACTATCTACTCAACATGTTTATTTTTTTGTCAATAATGACATGTATTGATTATTTCCATTCTAAATATCTTGAGAACCGTTGCTCGTAGCGATTTTTACCAAGAGACATTTTTTATGTAAAAAGTCAAGTCACGGAAATGTATATTTTTTCACTCAGTAATTTTATACAGGTACAGATGAAAAGTTATTACTCTTCAGACCAGTTAAAACACATGTAGGTGGCGCCCCCCTACGAATAGGAGTCATATTGTCATCAAAATCAAATTTCTCGTGTCAAAAAACCTCCGGACACCAATCTTCATCCAAATATTGACGTTACTTCAGAAATTATTTGAAAAAAATGGAAATAAAAATGAAACTTCTACACCCTGTATCTCCGAAACTAAGCATTTTAGGACATACATTTATACGAGCTTTTTTACTTATTTTTATCTGCAGAATATGCTGCCGAAGTTTCCGAAATACAGTTCAGACCACCCTGTATTTACAATCAATTTATATATGTCGTAGTTTTTATTGTTAATCTAAGGTCGTAGTCACATAGTGTTTCCCGTCTTTTCGTGAAGATCCAGTCACTTCATGAAGCGTCGGTTAGGTTAGCAGGCTAGTTATGTTGTTAGGTTAGTTTTTTTCATTAAGTGACTAGGCTTTTCATGAAAAGACGGAATACACTATGAGACTACGACATATAAAAATCGAATGTAAATGTTTTTATTTATTTCTCTCTATTATCTATTGTTTTCTCTATTATTATTTTATGCTTTTTAGGAAACAGTCAGAATTATTTAGAATCAACTACACGTCGAGATGTAATAGCAACCATCGAAAAAACGCACAAAAAAGACAGCCTTATATATTTGCTGCGACACATTGGAAAAGTTTTAAACCACCAGTCGATCCATAAAGTGCCAAAGAAGGAGATTATCGAGATTTGGGCGAACGTATTGAATTGTGATAAAAGAATTCATCGATCGCACGATACATTTACGAAATTTTTAACGATCGCTGTTGAGGTTTTCAATGACAACTTACCCGACTTGGTCAGATCGAGCTATAACAATAATGGAAATACTCAAAACAGAAATGATAATATGGCAGAGGTAAATTGGATTTAAATTTAACATATTATAATCATTGTCAAAAAAAATTAATTCATCACGCCTAGTAACAAGAAAAAAATTAACATAACTTCGAATGTATTATAAGTTTTTTTTATTGGACATATTGGCTCTGAACAAATTTTATTTTCGATATTTTTCGATATCTTCATTCAAAGATATTTTTCTCCAAAAGATTCTTTTCGATTCATATCGTCATTTCCCCTGTAATTTATACTTGTTAAGATAGTTTATTAAATTTAAAGCCATTAAAATTGTCATATACAGGGTCGCTTTCGCTTTTATGTATGGAAACGGTCGATTATTAGGAAAAATATAGAAGGTACCGCAAAAAGTTAAATATAAAAGTTACAGGGTTTATAAATATCTATTAGCGGGTAATAAAGTTAACTATACAGGATCGGTCATAAACTCGTGGCACATCAAAGTTTCATTTTTTTAAATGGAACCCTCATACCAACCATTTTCGAGTTATTGACTTTTGAAAATATCACTTAAACAATTTAATTATTTTTATATGTTCAGTTTCATTTAACGATGCCATTATGCCGAAACTGTAATACTTTTGTAATATGTTTTTAAATGCATATTAGCTACTAGTAAATTTAAGTATACAGGGTCGGTCATAAAGTTGTAGCATATCAAACTTTATTTTTTTAAATGAAACCCCCTGTATATTATTGCATGTTTCAATTCTTCCTTCAATTTTAAGCATTTGGTATTTGATATTAGTTCTCAAGTTAGCATTTATAGATGTATAAAATGAAAGTATAGCAAGTCTGGAAATAACAAAATTTTCGTTTAACATTTCAATTATTCGAAATTAATTAAATTGAATTGTTTAAGTAAAATTTTCAAAAGTCAATAACTCGGAAACGGTTGTTTTGAGGTACATTGTGTGTATTTCGATTTTTGCTTAGAATTGAAGGAAGAATCGAAATATGCAATAATATACATGGGGTTCCATTTAAAAAAAATGAAATTTTATGAACGACCCTGTATACTTAAATTTATTACTCGCTAATAGATATTTAAAAATGTTATATAAATTTTGTAATTAACTTTTTGCGGTACCTCCTATATTTTACCCAATAATCGACCGTTTCCATACATAAAAGCGGCCCTGTATAATTCAGTGGCGTGCATATAATCTAAGCAAATAAGCATTGCCTCCCCAGACAAAATCATTAATCTTTTTTCATATAATTGCATTATATTATCTCATTACTAATCCAACAAATATTCATAATAAGTATCTTTTATATTATTTTTATTCTAAAGATTACGTAAGATATATTTAAATTATTTTCGACTACAGTGTTTCGAAACAAAATTCAAATCTAATTAATTTTAAAAGGTTTATACACTTTATTACTAAACCGAAACACAACTTAAATGAATTAAAGCCTAACACATCTAAGACTGATATAATCGGAACGCACTAAATTACAAAATTCGGAACGTACTTAAACAATATAAACTCTCATCAATATTGAACGATGGTTATACAGATTATTTATATTAAGCTTATTTATTTTTAGGTATTAAAAGACCTGAAATATCAGCAAGAAAGAGACAGGAATAGCAGATATGACAATATCGACAACGTCATAGGTGAAGCTTCCTTATTAGACGAAAATACTGAACAAACAAAATTATGAAAGACAAAATGTTATAAATTATACAATTTGCAACCCTTATCATATTATTGAAAATATTTGTTGTTTTTTATGATGACATTATAAAATTTTTGTACCATTTTTACAAGGAACAAACTGTGATCATAACTTCTAAGCTAGGTTGTTATCAAATAATACAATATTATAGTATTTTATGTATAGGTCTAGTAAATGCACAATTTTAAAATAAATTAAAAATTAGTGAAAACCCATTTGAAGGACTGCATGACAAATTGAGACGTTATATTTTTCTGTGATTTAATATGAATTATTGTTGAAAAAAATGATATCAATAGTTTTTATTTTTTCGACATTCATCTTTTTCTTTCTCCATTTTTCTATCCATTCCACTTACTTTATAAATCTTTGTTTAGAATAGAGAGATTATGCTATACAGGGTGACAATTTAAAATGAACCCTATTTAATATTACCTCTACCGATGATAGTATGAAAATTTGGCGAAACACGTCAATTTACATATCAAGAGAGGGACAATTTTTGAGGCATTTGTTGTCTTGTTACTTTCAACCCCTTGACCCCCAGGGCACCTGCACCTAAAATTTTAAATAGCAACCCCTATTTCTTTTACCATTTTTGTGTTTCTTATAGAATTTTACATAAACTGCATTCTTTTTTTGAGAATTTTATAAGGATTGGAGGTTGCCATTTAAAATTTTAGGGGTAGGTGCCCTGGGGGGTCAAAGGGTTGAAAGTAACTCGACAACAAATGCCCCAAAAATTGCCCCCCTTGATATGTAAATTGACCTATTTCGCCGAATTATCATGCTATCATCGGTAGAGATAATATTAAATACTGTTCGTTTTCAAATTGTCACCCTGTATGATCAAAAAGTCTTTTGACAAAATACACTTTGGATGTTACAGATAAATTCTTATAAAAAATTATATTAAAATTCGTTTACCCTATAGCTTCATTCAGACCTCGCAATGAGTGGAAAAATTAGCGGTTTCAATTACACTTTATACTTTTTACTCTTTTTAGTTTATGATCACATTCACAGTGTTTAAAAAACACAATTAAAATTAGTAGAATATCCTAGCAACAGCTTTCGTTAGTCAGTTGTATCCATAGAGAAAGCCTAATATTTAGCTTAACTTGGATATCTAACCACAATTTCTCTTGACGTAATCAAAGGCCAAAATGACATTTCTCGCAAATTTTGAAGTATAATTAGTGGAAAAGTTAAAGTTTGATAACTTTTTCTACTAATTGAAAAATGTCTCACCACTAATTTTGACGTTCTGAATGCTTACATTGAAATTAAAGCAACAAACATCTATGCTAATTGAAACCACTAATTTATTCCGCTAATTGCGAGGTTCAGAATGAAGCTTATTACCACAGATAACATATATACCGTATGATCGAAATAAAAACGGCGTCAGCGATGGCTATGAAATGAAGGTCGCGGTCATTTTTTATGTAAATTTATATGGGAAATGTCATCATTTGTCGTCATTTCCTAGACAACTGGAGGCCGTTTTTTCGATCAAATGGTACTATGTTATCTGTGCTATTATCGTTAAAGTCGGCCTAATTATAAAATTCTTTGTTAATACAACATTGTCATTTAAAGTTAGCTTCAATTCATTGTATAAAGTCTGTCCAACAGGAGGATCCAACGACAACGAGAGTTGCTACTGTCACTTTTTGATTGTCATCTGTTGAAATTTTCCTCGTTGGACAGACTATGGTTCCAAAGATACCTCTAATTTAATATAACATATTATATATGTATTTGTTTTATATACAATCCCTGTAAATAAATTGTTTTATTTTGCTTGTCACTGTATTGTTATTAATTAATAAAGTCAGTAAATTATTGTTGTTCATTTTATTATTCGTTTCTTATATACATATTATAATAGAAAATACAGTTTATATTGATTATTACATATTACAATGATTTTTAATATTGTTATACTACACATTAAAGAAATTCACTGGAGCTCAAAAATCTTCTCAAAGAACTAATTTCTTTTGTGAATAATATTTTGAATTTTCTGCCATTCTCTGTCAAGGTGGGCTTTTTCGTTTTTGTCCTTATGTTTTCTAGATCTGGAAAGAAAGTAAAATATATTTCGAATAGATCCATTTGATGATCAATAAGTAAATCAAATATGCTAATCTCAAAACATTTTCCGATGGACGTCATCAATCATATCGAAATGTCAATTCTATATTGAAATAACAACTAATAGTATAAACTTGACTAAACGAATTTTTTTCAAAAATGTTTAAATTTGTTATATAATTTAAGATCTTAACTACTTAACTGCCTACAAGTAGTTTCCGTTGGATTAACGCAGCAGTGTTTACAAAAAATAACTATTTTATTTTGTAGATTTTCTTGCAGTGGCGAAATACCCACAGGATTTTTTTGGAGAGATGAATCCGCCACATAGGTATAGACATTTTTTATAATTTAAGATACTGAGCAGCTTTTCATTTTACCTTTTAGAGCAAATAATTGTAACAGATATTTTATTTAGATTAACGCTGCAAAAATTAGTTTAAACCGAATTTTATTATCGCCATGTTGGCCACATTGCGCAGTGTTCAGCAACATTGTTGTTTATTACTTGACAATTATCATAATGTTAGTCATTATTTTGTATAATATCGTGTTGTTATTGAATCTTTGTGAGATTCTCGTTTTTTTTGCTTCAAAAAAGATATGAACATTATTTTGAAAAAATCTTGATAATATGGCAACAAAGGAGTAGATTAAATTTAATGGAACAAAAAAAAATACAGGTTCTTCTGTTAAACAAAAAATCAAGGCTATAACCTGTAACTAGGCTATTTTGAACTTATTTAGAAAACGGCAAAGAGAAAGAATTTCTCTTATCGAGATCTACCAGTCCTAAAAATATTTGCACTTATTTAAGACATACATATAATCAAAAAAAACTGTTGGCAAACGCCGCATTAAAAATTTTCAAAATCATCTTATTCTTAACGAGCTATCACCTTGTAATTTTTTTTGCAGTTAGTAATAACAGTACCGGGTGTAAACCCGGTATTTAATTTTATAGTGCTTTTATAGAAGTAATTTGATAAATAATTATACTGAATTTTGTTGATGCTTTCTTGCTATTTCTCCAAAAAAATCCCTTACCGGGTGCGTCTCAAAAGTGTCTAACCACTATAACTTTATATTTTTTTAGAAAAAAAAACGAGATTTGGTAAGTTGTATATGACATAAATTAGGATTGATTGACGTATTCAATTGTTTTTGATCACTTCCTGTTTCACCGGAAATGACTACAACTTTTGATTTTTAAATGGCACCCTCGGTATTTTTTTACTTTATTCGATAGAAAATAACACTCTGAACAGAATGACATATCATATGTCAACTTCTGACATTTTCGCATATGGTTTATTTGAAATTATAACTTGCGGTTCGTAACGAAAATTTGACTCGAAATACCAAGTGTGTGATATCAAATTATTCGTAAAAAAATGCTTTTTCCAAATATGCTAATGAGCCACCCTCGTTCCATTTGAAAAAATTGAGATATAATTAAAAATACGATTTGAGCATTTTCTAATTGGCCATGCCAAGACACTAAAAACATTAGACGATCAAATCTATTTTTCCAGGGCGCCTTGATCGAATTAGTGTTTTTAACATAGCCAGGACACTCTAGATTGAATTTGAAAATACGATTTTTTATTAAGCGCGAATGTCAAAAGTTGACATATTATATGTCATTCTATTCAGAATGTCATTTTCTATCAAATAAAGTAAAAATACCATTGGTACCATTTAAAAATCAAAAGTTGTAGTCATTTCCGGTGAAACAGGAAGTGACCAAAAACAATTGAATACGTCAATCAATCCTAATTTATGTCATATACTAACATACCAAATCTCGTTTTTTTTATCTGAAAAAATAAAGTTATAGAGGTTAGCCGCTTTTGAGACGCACACGGTATGGGTATTTCGTCACTGCAAGAAAATCTAAAAAAAAGCGAAATACCGAGAGATGAATCCGTCACATAGGTAGACATTTTTTTCTTGCTCTTATCTTACGAAGGAAAACGCGAAGAGAAAATATTGAATATGTAAATCATACCTTCGTCCATCTGCCATCTTGAGACCATATTGAAAAGCAGCTTTTGGTAAAGCTTCTTTCTGATTCATATAATCAGAATATTCTTCAGCAGTATCAAAGTCCCATCTACCAATAGGTCCCTTTTTATTCCCTGAAAGATTAAATTAAAGGTAATAATTAGTTTTATAAAATTAAAAACAAAATTTTTATCAAAATCTTATAAAATTAAAAAAAAATAAAATAAAAATTATCATACCAAGATCCATTTTAGAGTAATCGACTTCATCATCGCTATCATCAATGGCATCATTCATTTCTTCTAAACCAGGATAGCATTCAGCATAGCCTTCGGGTTCCTGCTGAAGTTTATTAAGGATTTCGGCAGATTTGTTAACTCGGTATGATGGAGCCGCATTATCAACAGATTCTCTGAAAATATAATAGTCAATTAAAATAGGATAGAACTAAAAGAAGGAAAATAGAAGTCTTGAAAAATAGAATATTTTGCTTTTTGATTTTATGCGCACCTTGTATAATATTTAATAAATTACAATCAAAATTTAAGTAGAGTGTATCATTCAGAACCTCCCAATTAGTGGAATAAATTAGTAGTTTCAATTACACTTTATACTTTTTAGTTTACGATCATTCACAATGTCTAAAAAACACCATTAAAATTAATAAAATATCCTAGCAACAGCTTGCGGTAGTCTGTTGTATACATAGAGAAAGCATAATATTTAGCTTATAAAACAATAAACTTTTGATTTCTAACCAAAATTTTTCTTGACGGGTGATAATCAAAGGCCAAAATGACATTCTTCGCATATTTTGAAGTATAATTAGTGGAAAAGTCAAAAGTTTGTTAACTTTTTCCACTAATTGAAAATTACTACCACTAGTTATGACGTTCTGAATGCTTACATTAAAATTAGGTGACTTGTACACATTACAAACTTGTACGACTAATTGAAACTACTAATTTATTCCACTGATTTCGAGGTTCTGAGAAGCTTAACTTCTAGCGGCAACATTTTAAAAAATAGAGGAACAGAGTGAAACCTACCTGTGATCCTGTTTATCAAAGTATGAACTGTGCTTGCTCGATCTTGATTCTCTGTGGTGTTTACTACGCGATGGAACATAATCTCCTATATCTCCGTAAATAGAGTCCTCATTGTTATTACTTCTCTTTGCAGATTTTGCAGGTATTTCAGGTTCTTCGTCCCTTTCATAATCTTTAGTGTCAACTAAATTACGTTTGTTTTTATTCTTCTTCCGATTACCTGTAGCATAAAAATACTTTTTTGATGCATATCTGCTAATCACAGTACCAAAAGATAAAAACGGAGATGGCTTGGAAATGAGAATCGCTGTTCTTTTAAATATTAAATTATGCAGTGAATGTCACTGAGCGTAGTTTCCAGAACAACTTGACACCGTTTTTTTTACATCGCGGTATATAGTGTTACGTATATGTTCACCTTTTTTCAAGGCGATCTTATGTTTTAAAGAAGCTCTATATGCTTCCTTCTTGAGATTTGAAACAGTTTACAAAATATATCTACTATACAGGTGACTCAAATATATTTTTTACATTAAAGTTGTAACTTTTTAAATAAAATGTACAATATGTTGTTTTATATGTCATAAAACGCCTATGGCACATATACCGGGTGTTTCTCAAAAGTGGCCTACAACATAAATCAGAATTTATTGACGTATTTAATTGTTTTTGAAATGACACCTGCAGTGTCGTGTTGTGTTTTTTACTTTATTCCATAGAAAATGACACTCTGACTAAAATGACATATCATATGTCAACTTTGACATTTTCGCATATGGTTTATTTGAAATTATAACATGCGGTTCACAACATGACACTTGCGGTTCACACTGACAATCTGACACCGACAATTTGACAATTGATATGCTACTGAGCCACCCTCGTTCCATTTGAAAAAATTGAGATATGATTAAAAATACGATTTAGGCATCTTTTAATCGGCCAGGACAAGACACAAAAAACGTTAGACGATCAAATCTATTTTTCCAAGGCCCCTTTATTAAAAATTAGTGTTTTTAACATAGCCATACACCCTAGATGAAATTTAAAATACGATTTATTTAAAGCAAAAATGTCATAATATGTCATTCTATTCAGAGCATCATTTTCTATTGACTAAAGTAAAAAAATATCAATGTATATTGAAAAATACTGTGGTGCCATTTGAAAATCAAAAAATCATTTAAAAAAGTTATAGGGGTGAGCCACTTTTGAGACGCACCCGGTATACAAGGTGAATTAACACTAAATATGTATTTCTCTCCACTATTTCATACTGAACACTTATTTTATGACATACTGTAATGGCATAAATAAGATCTATAAAAATATTTTGAAAATGAGTCACCCTGTTTAACCATATAAAATATTATAAATATTAACCATATAAATTCAACGTTTTTTATAATTAAAATTATATAGTAAGTAGGTATATTAATATAACTAACCTTGTCTTAAGTAGCTTAAAATTTGAGTAAGCTTGTTGATGACTATGTCATTGGTGGTCAAACTAGATGTCAATTCAAATGATGGAACATCTGCTACTGATCGAATTAATGTAGTGGGAATATCAGTCTCAGCCTCATCATCTGAAATATTGAGTCAGTTTAGCTACTTATTCTATAAATCATTAAACTAATATATTTACCTAAATCAATTACATATGCCATTCGACCTGGAACGAACATATCTGACTTTTCAATATGCCTAGATTTTAATAAATTCACTGTATGATAGACAGATCTTCCCAGTTTTGTTTTAAACTTCAATTCTTCCTCCTCTTTTTTTAGTATGTTTGTTTTTTCCTTTTCTTTTTTCTTTTCCTCTGATTCACTAGCCAGACGCTCCAACTCCTATGAAAATATACAATAATATAATTATAGTTGATGTAAAAAACTTAAATTTATTTATACCTGTTCTTGTTCAAGTTCCTTATGTTGAATTTCACTTCGAACTTTTTGTAGCAATGCATAATCAAGACCCTTTACTAAATGAGTATGTTCCATGTCACCACCCAAAAATTTTGATTCCTGAATCATTTGTCTCCTACGTTCAGCAGCATCAAATCCTAAAAATCGCAGTTATTGGGAAATCTGAAGTATAAAAATTCAAAAGCATATTTCATACCAGATTTTAGATCGGGGGCAACCGCTCTATATGCTTGAGCCGTTGCAACAGGATCATCAGCTTGATAATCCGGATTTGCACCTTTTCTTCTTTCACTAGCTCTATCACGATATTTCTCTGCTAGTTCTGCGATTTTATTATCTTCCTAAAATTATATCAAGTATTAATACTAAAATTTTAGAATGCAAATATGTAAAATACCTGTTTCTTTAATTTGGCATAAAAACTTTTCCGTTTCTTCCTGGCTTCTTGTTTATCTTCTATTTTAGGCGGGGGCATACTCGAACCATTTTGCATAGCTTCTCTTATAGATCCAGGGGCAGCAGGTGCATTAGCTGGAGTAGAACGCGGAGTCATCAGCAATTTACGAAAATCGTCATTGGTAAGGCGTTGCGAGCCCGGCGTTTCATCCCCTGTTTGTGGCATTTTGCAATTCTAAAACAGAAATAATATAAGAATTAAGTTACAAAACATAAAATATCTATATCATACCATAAAATCTAAAAAAATGGTGTCAGAACATTTATTGAGAACGTAAAATAAAACAGCAAATTATTGAGTCATTGAGTCTACCTTACATTATATTATTACACGTTTTAAAGAAAATTAGAACGGTACTGATAGACTGGAACTTAGTCAGTTATATAAAATCCCCATCGGGCTCAACTGAAGGGTAGGTACGAGAAGTAGCTCTACCATCCATATGCTCACCCTGTTTTAATATGCTCCTCCCTTAATCTGTTCATTCAAAGACTTGGCTAGTATATGGACTAGTTGTATAGTTTACTATACTAAACAAATACCTAGATATTTTGATAGAAAACCAATTATATAAAAAAGAATGCATTTCAGTTCTTCCTAAACACTTCCTATAATTTTATGTTACTTCTAATTTTCGTAAAAATTCAATTATTTGCAGGATATGAGCGATAAAAATAAAAATGTTTTTTTTTGTATATACCTAAATGGGTTTTCATGTTTTCATCACAATAACCAGACTGGATATTATAGTTTGGAACAGGGGCGGATACAGAAATTTATTTTAGGGGGGGCCCAAAATAAAAAGCAATGTAGAATATGCTTTTTAGGGCGCCATTTTTAACCCAAAAGACTAATATTTAACACAATTTACAGATTTTAGGGGGGGGCGGGCCCCCCTCTGTATCCGCCACTGGTTTGGAAAGTATCCAATTACCAACTAGTCAATAAACAAACCAAATACACAATTCAACCATAACATTTAACATATTTTAATTACCTGCTAACTGCTCTCCTGTCTAATCAGTACAATACAACACTATTTTCTTTATCCTTGCTATTTTCGATGAAGAATTTGATCTTGTTGTCTAGGAATGAACGCAAATCTATATGACAAATTCCGACTCGTATAGAAGAATTAAATATAAACTCTCTTATATTTATTAGATATACGGCACGATTTGCTCTTAAAGCCACTAACACAATAAAACACAGAGATAGAGATTAAACCAAGAATAATAACACATAAACAACACTAAATAAATTGAACCACGCTCAACGAAGCACCTCCGACATCGGCGACATCCGAAACTGGAATGACAAATATGACGTGACGACGTGATCGGTTCGGTACACAGACGTCATCTGTCATTAAAAGCAGAGTTGCCAGATCATTTTTTTCTTCAGGTATGGATTATCCAGGGCAGGGTTCGGAAAACTACATGTTACTGTTAAAAACTACATAAACTACATTACATGTAGTTAATGTAGTTTATGTAGAGGGTGTAGTTTATGTAACCTATGTATGTAACTTTCAAATATGAAAGGTTTGAGGTGAGGTTATAATAAGTTGAAGCTTTAAAAACACATAATGTATTCAAGAAAACAGAAGAAATATGGCTTTAAATATAATATTTACATCATATTATCTCTATTACACCTCATACAAATGAAAATTATTCATAATATCAATACATAGTTTATTAATGTAGTTTTCATGTAGTTAATGAACGAGAAAAGACGTAGTTTTTGAAGAAAAACTACACGTAGTTAATCAGGTAAATTACGTCTTAATTAACTACTTCCGAACCCTGCTACATCTTCGATGTTGCCAATTTGCAGTTTATTTTTCGAATTATTTGCAGTTAAAAATTTTTTTTTTTTGAGTGTTAATCAATAATAATACAAATTTATATAGTGAAATTTTATAATTTCAGATTTATCTTGATATCAAAAATTAAGATAAGAAGAATAATGAAGATTGTGAAATGAAAGAATATGAATATATAAAATTGTAATAATAATAACATTTATTTATATATTACATTAAAATTAAATTATCATGTACGGATTTCTTCTTAATGGTTTTAAACTTATTAAATTATTTTATTTCTTTCAAGTTATTTAATTTCTAGTTATTTACAGGCAACAATAGTTTTGATTATATGTGATGTTTTGAAATACTACCATGACGAGTCTTATACATAGAACAATACACGTCAATGGGAGATAAGAGGTAACATCTTACCTATAATATTTACTAACATAATATACTTTGATTATATTTTGTATCATATTTCTTAAAAATATCAAGTTAAGTGGATTAAAGAGCAATTTTAGACATATATTTTATCGAAAGAGTGTGTTGATAAGACTAAAATAAGCTTTATGTTTATCTTTTTCTCTTTAGAAGGGAGATGGTTTGTGTCGTGAATACATTACAGTATTTAATATTGTGTACTTTTGATGATACTTTCTAAATTTACTGTAATTTCTTGCTATAATGCCAAATCTTGTCAATATAGTGAAGGTTGAGATTTGATCTTATTAGTTTTACACCTGTGTTTATACAAGACCAAATTAAGATTAGTCTGTGATTTATATTAAGATCTTTCTTATAATATTTGTCATGTCTTAATCCCAATACTATATTATGCTTTGTCTGGAAAATAAATGTTAAAATATCTTATTTGCATATCTATTCCATCCTTCCATTAGGAAAAATATGGTTTATAAATCATATTGTAAAAGAAAATCACATAAATTAGGTGTAAGAATAGAAATCTTAAGGTAGTAGAAGAAATTAATGCAATATATGTATATAAGCAGAATTAAAACAAGTTAACTGTAAATGTTGCTCAAGATGATTCTACAATTTAATTACGGAGGCTAAAAAGGCCTTTTAAGGCCTCCATAGTTTGATGGAATGTTAAAAAAAAAACTAGTATGAACATGACATAGACTACAGCATTTAAAATAAAAAACAACTTGGACACATCCCTTTTAATATTTACCAATTTTTAATAAAGCACTTTTTTAAACGTATAGCATAATAATCTAGAGCAATTAGATTAATTATAGGAATCTAGAATTTTATTTCTATTTAATTTTATTGACTATAAAGCTATATAATAAGTTCACGTTTCACGTGTTGTGCGAAATATTAAAATAATAATAAATAATATACCGCGTAATATGATTGAAAAAATAGCGTCAGCGATGACTATGAAATGAAGATCGCTGTCATTTTATATGGGGAAATGTCTCAATCGTCATTTCCCAGCCAACTGGACGCCGATTTTCGATCATACTTTATATATTGACAAAAAAACACAGAAAAGCACATATTTGTTTTCTACTGAAAATAATTCCAAAATAACTTGCAATCTGGCAACATCGAAGATGTGCGCATGCGTAGTGTCTGTGACTATATGCAGCAAAAACTCGTTTCAAGGTCAGCCACCGGATCCACACCATTACCGATCTAGGAAATAAACCAATAAAATTGCATAAAATCAACAACGGACGACGCATATACCGATCTGGTGGGTACCTATTCTTGACCGCTCACATCTTCAAACATCGCTCGCATATTCGAGAGCGCCATATAACAATAAATGTAAATACGCATACGCAAAATGCGGACGATGTCAGGTCATCGAAAAGATCGAAACTGCGTGGTCAGGGATTTCAATGGATAAGACAATGATGTAGCTTATCAAAATGTATTAAAAAGAGATAAAAGTTGAGTTGATATATTTTTTCTATGCGGTATTGCCGGATTTTGCATCAAAATTTCAAACCGCACAAATAGGCGTTTACAAGAAACATTACATCTAGGGTTGGAACTCTATTTTTCACAATTAGTTACGCATTTTACTACAGTTATGTGCTTAGTATCTTCATTTCATTAGTATACATAAGGTATACATCAAAGTTTTTAAAAGAGTTTATTTTTTTCTACACACGTACAAACCGGCAACATTGTATGCCGCTTTTTATTTTGTCTCTCTGTCCGTCAACCAGAGAAATAGAAGGGATAGAGAATGAGCTTCAACATGCGCAGAAGGTCTAATCAAGTTGGGCGCCATATTCCAGGTCTCCGTGTCATTTTGTATATAGGTGATAATCTATAAGTAATCAAATATCAATTTGCTGTTTTCAACCATACGGGGGGCAATTTAAATTTATTGAAATTCTATCATTTATTATGGTTTAAGTTATTTCACGGGGGTGTCGCGCTGGAAAACAGGCAACAGTCAAATTTAAAAACGTGCCAGGACCAGCGACAAAAGAAAGCAACATCTGCCAGGCATTGGCTTTCTTTGTCCTCATATTGCTTAAATCACATGATACCGCAGCCATTTGCCCAACAAAGAAGCTGGCCGGCTGTCCTGGCAAGTGATTTAAAACAATTTTGCTTTTTTACAATTAAATTACCATTTGGATGTATTTAATGCGATTATTCAGTTAACCGGTAAATTCAGAAATTACACACAAATACTTTGTTCAATAAATACAACTAAGATGTAAACGTATTTTTGTATTTTAGATTTCAACTTTTTCGAAGACCGCCGATAGGAGAACTTTACAACGTACCTGTTTAACTAAACGTATTATTTCTGATAATAATATCAAAACGTAAAGATACCTCTATAATTTATGAGTGAAAAGTATTTTGATTATGTTTTATATTATTTAAACTTTTAACCTCAAATAATAGTAAGAATCCTTGTTTATATCTATACAACCCAGATTCAAAACTGTATTGTCTTCAAAATGTTTACAAAACAAACAATTATTTTAAAAAACAATGTCCTTAATCTGATTTTATACCTCAGAGGATGGCAGGTAAAAATTTTTTATTAAATCGGCATTAATATAACTGGTATTAATACAAAAGAACATAATGCCTTAACTTAAATTTTCTTTACTTCTCTGGTAAATATTCTCTCTACTATTCTCTATTTTGATTCGTAAACTTTAGACTTTGGGATGTGCGATATATATCCTATCTATATCCAAAGGGGCGATCTGATAAAAGTATTTTTTAAATTTTGGTTGTTTATGTTTTGTTCAATATATTTATTTGTAGTTTTTTTGCCTTTGGAATGGCATGCATTGAGGCTAGATGATTTCATTAGTCAAACAAAGGAATTTAGAAATTAGCATATATTTTTTTTGTGATATTAGTATGTTATCATGATATAGGTAGTTTGCCATCACTTAGTGCCTTATGCATGTTACCTATTATATAACTTATCTATTATCCAGTAAATAGATGATAAGATACTACTAAAAATATCTTTAATAGTAAGCTTATCTTTCCAATTCACTAGTTATTTGCAAAATGTATTTTGAATTAATTTAAAGATCATTATTGATATTTTCTTTTTTCAGGTTGGGATATTCTTTTCATTGTTAAAAAAATATATATATTTCAAATATTGTAGAAATATGATGTAAATATAACAAATAAATGATATTGTTTACTAATAATGTGTAATTTATTTACTATGAATTTTCTCACAGAAAATAATAGAAGTCTTAATAATATCATTGTTTGCTGTGTAAAAAGGTATGAACATATTTTTTAATACATTAATGTCATTAAAGTAATAAAATAACTATTTAGCCAACTTCAGGTACCTAAAATGATGTTTTAGGACCAGATCATTACTGTTCTTGGGACGAGGCGTTGGCCAGTCCAGGAAATAATGAGGTCCTAAAAACATAATTGGAAGCACGTGTTACTCCCACTATTGATAGCACGCTTTTTATTGGTTTTTTAGAACGCATATTTACCAATTTTCCATATTTGAAATTATAATGTTTGAAAAAGTTGACTTATAAATTCATCTTAATGCTTGAGGTTTGTTTATTTCATCGCATTTTTGACATATCATTCAAAGAATTTGTGCACAAAAATCACACAAATTCATCAACAATTTTAAAAATGTTCCCAATCGAACATATTTTCAGCAAAATAAAGAAATCGTGTTGGATTTACTTCCTGGCGAAGTCTCGTGCCATTTACCAGAAAGAATATGATGTTTTTTAATGAATGGAAAGAAGACAAAAATGGCGTATTCGTTGTAAATGAAGATGTATTGCTAAATTATTTCCACGAAAAGTAAGTACCCTAGGTACCTATTTAAAAGAGGCTTTTAAATTAAAATATTCTTAAGTACAGTCTAGCGACATTCAAACTAAATAGTTTGGTCGAAATATTTGCTGAGAGCAGTGTAAGTGTTAAAGAAGATATTTATATTGACAAATTTCCAAAACTTATTGCTTTTGAAGAGAATTCGGTTGGTTACGAGGAGCCTAAAAGTCG